CGACGGCCCGCTTTACCCGGAGATGTCCAACGGGACGTTGCATCACTACTTCGTGCCAGACGGAGACTACGAGGAGAACGACGACCCGGAGAAGTGTCAGTTGCTTTTCAGGGTGAGCGACCGCCTGCGCTGCACAGTGGACGGGGCGGCTGAGCGCCTGCATCCCGCGACGGCGGCGGCGGCACCCCCCACCCTGACGTTGCGCGAGGAATTCACCCTCCTGGGCCGGCAGGTGGAGGACACGGCGCGCGTGCTGGAAGGCATCCAGAAGAGCATCTCGTACGACCTGGACGGCGAGGAGAGCTACGGCAACTACCTGCGCAGGGAGTCCACGCAGATTGGCGACGCCTACGCCAACTCGGAGAAGTCGCTGGGCGAGCTGGAGAACAAGTTCCGGCAGGGCCAGGAACACGAGAGCCACGAGGAGAGCCGCCTCAACGACGACTTCCTGGGCATGCTGGTGCATGCGCGGGCGCTCCTGAAGGAGACGCTGGTCGTCTCGGCGGGCCTGCGGGACAAGTACGAGCTGCTCGCGGTCGCCGTCCGGAGCCACGGCGCGCGCCTCAGCCGTCTCAAGACAGAGTACCTCAAGGGCTGAGCAGGAGCGGCGCCTGGCTGGGCTTCGACCACAGCATCCCTCTTTTCCGTCAGTGGCCACGCGGTGGAGCTCTGCTGGGCACCCTTCCCACGGACTAACTTTCCTCCACCAGATTCCGACCCTTGCCGTTCCAGTATACTTCAGGGCCATTCTTTGCAATTTTCATCATAGCGCCTTGAAGGAGCAAAGTAATGTGCCTACCTTGAGGTGGCGTGAGTCCACGAAGGACAGACCAGTGGACAGCAACTCGACAGTTAGTTGTTTTCCTCCTTTAAAAAAAGAAAAGAAAATTGAGGAGGGTGCTATTTCTGCTAAATACGAAAAAATCCAGCAGCGTGTCGTCCGCCTTTTTTTAAGTTCGGTTCTTATCTTTCTGGCAGGTGGAAATTCAAGTTATTGGGGCGGGGGGGGGGCGGTTTATGTCAATAAAAACAGCGTTTGTTGGATTCCTCCTGATAAAACGTTAAAAACGCACACAGGCTTTCTTTATTGCATTCATCCTCACTTTTTAGCATAATGTGTGTGAAATGGGAAAAAAATAAAGTGACCTTAGACACAGTTTATGTACTTACCTTAGTAAATCATTGGGCTTACTCCATCACCTATGGTTAGGTTGCAAGTTTTTACTCAATTACAGTGGAAGTTAAGTTCTATTGAGTAAGAGGACTGAATCTGGAGTCAACATTTACTGTATAGGATTGAGTTGCTGTGATTAAAGGCTTTGAAGATAATTCCTTTTTATACCCACTTTTCAGTGAGTTCAAAGAGGTAATCAGTGGCATAGTCAAATGTATCCCAATTCCGGAGAATTGGCAGTATCTGCTATGTTGCAAGAGTTTTATAATCTTTATTGGTCACAATTCAGCAATGTTATGCACAGTTAAGCCTACTGATTTATCGTTTTGTGGAATGTGTTGTGTAATCCTGGGGGGAAAGTATTGTGAACAGGAGAAGTTAGCTTACAGCTTTTGGACCTTGTCCTCCAGTTCTTTCAAATGGAATCTTTTGAA